AATACTTGAGACGTGTGGGTGAGCAAGAAGCCTGCAGGAGCCACTTTTTTTCAGCACAAGACGCCTGCAGCAGCTGCCTCTTTGCCAGCTGGAACCAAGCTGGGATCAGCAGCTGGAGGCTTCTCACTCCAGCAAAGAGGTGGCGGCTGCAGGCATCTCGCGACAAGGGGGGTGAGATGTGGGCTGGCGGGGAGCCCAGTGGCAACGGCTCAGCCCTGGCTTGCCTTCCTCTCTGCCACCAGCTGCAGGAGGAAGGTAAGGTCATGGGACAAAGAGGCGGTTGTGTGGGAGGAAGCGGGGTGAATTCTGGAATTCTGGATTAAAGAATTTCAATTAAGATTTCGTGGAATACCTGAACAACCAAGTGAAGATATCAGTTTTGTTAAAATATATAATTTTATTTATCATTTTTTCTTTAACATCCAAAAGTGCTTAGTGAACAGTGTATTGTCTGGGTCAGTGGTGGGATTCAATTTTTTTTAGTACCGGTTCTGTGGGCATGGCTTGGTGGGCATGGCAGGGGAAGAATACTGTAAAATCTCTAGTCAGAGGTGGTATTTGCCGGATCTCCGAACTACTCAAAATTTCCGCTACCGGTTCTCCAGAACTGGTCAGAACCTGTTGAATACCACCTCTGGTCTGGGTCAATATACTTTACATACAATTCTAATAATGATAGTACCATTTAAATATACATATTCATAATCTTTCAACTTCTAACATTTGTGTGTACATAGTAATTACAATATGTTCTATTATATTTCAGTATACATAATACTATTTTCCCAATTTCTGCTTTCTACTTCTTTTTTCTAACACGTAATAAAACAATCACCATGTTAAAAATATTCTATGCCTGTCCATCATTTTTTATTTATTTTTTATTTATTTTATTTTGTCAAGTGATTATAAGATAACAGGTATAAGTATAAACGTAGTTATGAACACATGAAATGGATACATATAACAAAAATAAAAAGAAACAATAGGACAGGGACGGTAGGCACGTTGGTGTGCTTATGCACGCCCCCTACAGACCTCTTAGAAAAGGGGTGAGGTCAATAGTAGACAGTCTAAGGTTAAAGGTTTGGGGGTTTGGGGAAGAAACCACAGAGTCAGGTAGAGTATTTCAGACATTGACCACTCTGTTGCTGAAGTCGTATTTCCTGCAATCAAGTTTGGTGCGGTTTACCTTGAGTTTGTATCTATTGTGTGCTCTTGTATTGTTATGGTTGAAGCTGAAGTATTCATTGACAGGTAGGACATTGCAATATATAATTTTATGTACTATACTTAGATTGGACCGAAGGCGGCATAGTTCTAGGTTTTCTAGGTCTAGAATTTCAAGTCTGGTGGCATAAGGTATTCTGCAACGAGTAGAGGAGTGGAGAACTCTTCTTGTGAAATATTTCTGGACTTTCTCAACTGTGCTAATATCAGATACGTAATGCGGGTTCCAGACTGATGAGCTGTGTTCAAGTATTGGTCTAGCAAATGTTTTGTATGCTCTAGTTAGTAGTGTGATATTACCAGAGAAAAAGCTACGTAGGATTAGGTTAACAACTCTTAATGCCTTTTTGGCTATGTAGTTACAGTGGGTTCTAGCACTTAGATCATTAGAGATGAGTACTCCAAGGTCCTTGACAGAGTTTGGATCATCAGCAAGGTCTTGACTATTCAGCTTGTATTTTATTTTCTGATTTTTTTTGCCAATATGTAGGACAGAACATTTATTTGTTGAGATTTGAAGTTGCCATTTGTTTGACCATTCTGATACATAGTTGAGGTCTTTTTGAAGGGTAGCAGTATTTTCTGTGGTGTTGAATAGCTTTACATAATCGGTGAAGAGAACGCAGTTGCTCTTAATATGATCACAGAGGTCATTTATGTAGAGTATGAAGAGAGTTGGTCCTAGAACACTGCCTTGGGGGACACCACTGTTGACAGGTACAGAATTTGATAGGACGCTCCCAATTTTGACCATTTGTTGTCTGTTTGACAGGAATGCTTCTATCCAGTTATGCAGGTGTCCAGAGATACCACAAGATTTTAATTTTAGGAGTAGTTTGTCGTGTATCACTGAATCAAAGGCTTTACAGAAGTCTATGTAAATTGAGTCTATTACTTTGCCCTGATCAAGTTGTGTAGTCCATATGTTTTTGCAGTGTAAGAGTTGCAGATTACAGGATAGTTTTTTTCTGAAACCAAATTGTTTATTAGAGAGTAGGTTGTTTGTCTGTAAGTGGAGGATAATGGATTGGTTAATAATTGATTCCATGACTTTACAGGTGACGCAGCAATCTCTTTAGATTGGTCTGTAATTTTCAACTAGGCTGGGGTCTCCCTTTTTGAAGATGGGGATGACCGTTGTTGAGGTAATTCCCTGTTAGGAGAATGAGCGCATACAGGGAGACGTAGTGACAGTAATGTTGAATAATACACACACAGCACACAGATACACTGTACAGTAAATGTAAGTTTTTACTTCCAATAAACGTTTAAGCGCAGTCCAAGATAAGCAGTCCAAGTCATTCACAGGTAAAGCTGTCAGTGTTCAGTTCAGGGATAATCCAAATATCAAAGTCCAGTATCAAAAAACAGTTCAGTAACAGACTTACATCAACGATCAGTAACAGTCATTAGGAGGAATGGCAAAACTCTCCAACAGAAGGGAACAGAAAGTCACTCACTCACTGAGACTCAAACACACACTCCGAACAACCCAGGTTTCTGGCTCCATCTTATGGCTGTTTGAGAAACCACACCCAATTACAGCTTTTGCATTTTCTTAAAGATACAGTATTAAAATTTCTATCCTGGTTTATATATTTCCAACCCAAATAACTGTTAGGTGACTTATATTCCTAACAACCATGGCCAGTGACCATAGGTTTGGCAAGGAGCTGGTCCTGAAGGATTTTTCAAAGATTATGCTTAGAGGTTCGGCTATGGCAATGGATAGCTTTTTAAAGAAGTAGGCACATATTCCATCCAGTCCAATAGATAGAGATGGTTTTAGATTGCGTATTGTTTTTTCAACATTGTCTTCTGTAAAATCGATATGTATTAGATCATTGTAGTTGTCAGTGGTTCGACTAGGAAATACTGGGCATGATCCATTGCTGTTTACAAATACTGAGCCAAAGAATGCATTAAAAAGGTTGGCTTTAATGGTGTCGTTGTTGCAGTTTTTACCATTAGGTCCTTTCAGGGGTGGGATGGACCTTGAATCTTTTAGTTTGTTGTTTACAAAATTGTAGAAAGCGTGGGTTGAATTGGTGCATAGAAGGTTTTCCTCTTGTTTAATATGATAATTGGTGCATTCAGTCTTTATCTGGTGGCATAATTTTTTGTATTTGCTTTTGAAGTTGGCAACGTGATCAGATTTGTTTTTCCACCAAAGTGATTTCTTTTTGGATTGAAGCTTCCTTACTGTTATGGGTAATTTGTTTTTTCTGGTTTTGGGAGTTGTTATTAGTACATATAGTTTGATGACACTTTTGACTTCGAGTAAAAATATGTTGTAATGGTCTTCAACAGTATTGCATCCAGTGAATAGAAGTTGCCAATCAAGAGATGAGAGATCGTTTTTCTATAAGATCATAGTTGCCTTTTTTGAATTTATAATTGGGGATCCCGTTGTTATGATGATTTTTGTGTGGAGGTATATTGAGACAAAAGTCAATCATGTTGTGGTCACTGTTGGAAAAGGATTCTTTAATTTGTAATCTGTAAATTGAATTCAAACTATTGCAGAAGATGAGATCGAGGCAGTTGTTAAGTTTAGTATTGTTGGTTACTAGTTGTTCCAGTCCCAGATTTGTTACAGCAAATCATCTCTTGCTCTTTTTAGAATTTCAACTCTTATTAACTTATTGGTGAATCTTTCATGCTTTTCCTCCGGTATCTTATTTAATCTATATATTTCATCTGCCACAGCATCTATCTTTTTTGCTGTTGAATCTCTAGAGCACCCATTTGAAGTCCCCCCATCATTTTTAGGAGATCTTTCTTTTTATTTTTTTATAGCAGGGTACCCGTGCTTCACTACGAAATTATGTGATCGGGCAAGTTTTTGGGGAGGAAAATAAGGGGTAAAAATTGTGCCTCTGCCTACCAGCATCCATCCGTATTCATCTGGCTAGCGTTCTGTCAGTGTGTGAGAGAGTTCAGGCCTGTTTGGAAACTGAAACAGTATTTGCTGTGTGAGCAAGAAGGAGACAGCAAGGAGCCTGGGCGTGGCTTAGCTGAACTGCAGTTGGAAGAGATTTCTTTTCAGGTGGGGAGGGGGATTAGGACTCCTTAGCATCAGAGCACGTTAATAATAATATAGGAAATACTAATGCTCTGATGGTCATTTCATAAAATCCTTTGTTAGTGAGCACCTAGAAGCCAAGAGTAACATACGTGCCAAATTTCAAGTTTGTAGGCTTTACGGTTCGAGAGATTTTGTGATGACTCGTGAGTGGTATTTTGCTCTTATATATATACTGTAGATTCCACAACGGATGTCCCTCTCATTGTCATCATCACCAACCAAGTATATCTGGAGAAATGAAGACTGCTGCTGAGGCCCCGCCATGATACTCCCTATCCTGTGGTAGATCTGCCCCTGCACTTTGAATGTTGGCATAAAATTTCCCTCCTTCACCTCTCTGGCTCCAAAAGACGTCATTTGGAAGCATCCATTGTACTTCCGGACAGCAGAAAGAAAGTGGTTTGTCATTGGATGCTGGTGGGTGAGAAGGCTGTGTAAGGGTTCAGGGGAGGGCTGAAGGGGCAGGAGGTGGACTTTACCGCCACTGCAGCACATCCCAGGACTTTCATCCTGCCACTTTAAAGCATGGCACCAGGCACAAGGTAACCGAGGTCCGAGATCAACAACCTTTTCCCTGGAATAATGAATCTGAGGTTCATATTGAAAACCAGACAAATACAACGACTTCCGGTTGTGACGTCAGGACACAGAGAGGCAACAAAGGTGAGCAAAAGACAAAAAGAAGGAAAAGTCAGTAATCCAATAGTTCAACAGATATTCCACTACTCACAGGAGGTTTCCACCAGCTCAGTTCTCTTATCTTACTGACAAATTGCTGAGTAATGTCTATTCTCTTCAATGGATGCTTGCTGCCTCTGTTACTCCAGCCGGTCTCTCGTGTCTGTCACTTCCTTAACACAGTTCAATAATTGCAGCCTAATAACTCGCATCTATCACAATCATGTCTTTAAATCTTTTTGAGTTTTAAGGATTTCCCGAATCTCCACTTTTTTCCGTTTCTTGTTCGTCACAATCTCTTTACTCCTCTTTGGGGCAGTCTACAGCTCTCCAGTCACTCTCTAATCTATCTCACCTCCACCTGTTCGCCGCTCTTCTGGAGCTCTGACCAGCCTCCTCTTGTATCTTTCACCCACCACAGCTTAAGAACTTTCTTCCATGCAATCTCTGCTTTCCACGATCTTTCTCTGCACCGTCTCTCTCTTTAATCTCTGTCACAATCTGTCTTCCAATCTTGCTTCTTTCTTATAGCTGGGGTGTCAGGACTTCAGGGCTGCCATTCAAAGATGACAGCCTCTTGTTCTCTGGACTCAAAGGACTCCTCTTTGTTGCAGGGGCAGTTGCCCTCCGCCACTCTGCTCCTCAGGATTCCCCAGACCGTCATGATTTTCTCTGGGATTCGTGTACCCTTACAGGGTCACTCCAGCAACAAGAAAAAAGGATTGAAGAACAGAAAAAAAATGAACATACAATAAAGGAAGTTGAGAAAAGAATGGAACAAATGGAGAAGAGACTGGAACTAGTGGATCAACAAATGAAAACAATTAAAACAAGTAAAGAAATGGAAGCCTCCCTGATCCATTTAGAGATGGACAAGCAGCGTCGTATCTCAGATTCCAAAACGTTGTAGAATCGAAACAGGAAGATCTGGAATTGGTGATGGAGGAAATTCTGGCAGAAGCATTAGAAAGAGACAAAAATGAAATGTTGAATGAAATGGTTGACGTCTATAGGGTGAGTACGAACTACACTAGACGTCATAAACTGCCGAAAGAAGTCCACATAAGATTCTCAAGAAGAAAAGTCTGGGACATCATATACAAGATAACCAGAGACAAACCGGTCACTTATAAAGGAAAAGAGATCCAGATACTAAAACAGATCCCAAGAAGGGTGAGGGAGCAGAGACAGGATTCTTGGCTGCACAACTGAATAAGAGAGATATTCTATTCTGATGACTGATCCCGGAGGAAATGTTAGTCACATGGGAAGAGAAAAGAATTAAAATCGATACCATAGAGAAAGCGCAAGATCTTTATGACCAATTAGTAGGCCCTGACGACCAAAGCAGCAAGGAAGAACTGGAATCAAACACCCAAGAGGAGCAGGAGCAACAAGGGAATAAAGAGGAAGATCAAAGAGCAGAAAAAAGAGATCACCAACAACAAGAACGGGAAGACTTAAAATCAACAACTAGGATACAAAGAGAGATAAGGGCGAGCAGACAAGAAAGAATGGGAGAAGTGAAACTACAATCCATCAATATTAATGGTTTAAATTCAGCAATAAAGAGAAAAAGGATATTAGCAAAATTAACTAAACAAAAAGTAGATATAATATGTTTACAGGAAACCCATGTTCAAACAGCAGACGACAAATATCTAGAGTGTCCTAAATCAGGGAAATTATATACTGCACGAGCAGACTTTAAAAAAAAAAAAAGGAATAGCTGTTTAGATTAAAGAAGACATCAAAATGAACTTAATCTTTGTAGACCCAAATAGAAAATTTTTGATGATGGAAGTATGGATAGCCCTTAAACCGGTACTACCGTGTTTCTCCAACAATATGCCCCCCCCAATAGGAAGGCCCAGCTTGTTTTCTAGGCATGAGATGAAATTAAGCCCCTCCCCCCAAATTTAGGCCTATTTAAAACATGCAAAATGGGGGGGATAGTGCGGAGGGGAAAACTTGGCGTGAGGAGCAGCCCATGGGCAGCCATGCCTCGCCACCAGCCGCTCCTAATGGCCAATCATGGCGGAGTGTGGAGGGCTCCCTACCCCCGCCAAGCACCTTTGCTGCAGACCTGGGTACGGTGCTGGCTGCAGGCCAGGTCAGCGGGTGGGCAGTGGAAGCGTAGATGTTGGCCGCGGCGGCGGCAGGGCACTTTGCACCGCTGCCACTTCCTCCGCTGCTGTCGCTTTCCCTTCTGCCCTCACTGCAGCTTATGCTGTGTTCGGACTGCTGCCATTGGGCAAGACACAGAGGCCGGAGGCCATGCTGGACATCATGGCACGGCAGTAGCGGAGAAGTGGCCCTTCCAGCGGGTGGAGGAATGGTTCGAGCACATTCCTCCACTGGCAGCATTTCAGCTGCTTCTCGGGCGGGGGAGCCACCTCCATCGCTTCCACAGTTCCTGCCGGCGGTGGCACCTCTCTTGCCAGAGCCGTGTCCAACAACAGCGGCAGCAGCAGCAGCAGCGGGACAGACCCTGCTGCCGACAAGAACCGCCTGCCCTCCTGCTGGGGCATCACTTTGCTTGACACCGGCTGCATCGACAACGTCCTGCAAATCGGTGAGTCATTTGGGCTTTGGTGGGTGGAAGTGGCGGCGGGAGGGTGATGCCATTGTTTCTCTCCCCCCCACGCCTCGCTTTGCTTCCTGCCCCAGAGCCTCGGGTCACGGTCTTGTCCCCTGTATGGTCGGGTGCTCTCCTCTTGCTCCAACCGCCCGAAACCACCACCGACGTGGACCTTTTCCCCCTCTTTAAGTTTTCTTTATTCTCATTCCCTCCGTCAGTTCCCTAAGAATACAGACTGGCCAGGCAATTTCCTCCCACCTCCCTCCTGGTAGTTTTAAAAAGGGAACCATCTATTCATTTTGCCCTTCAAGCAGAGGCAAACCTTCCAATCCAAACATAAGAGAAAGGGAATCATCCTACAGACCCTTAGCACCCCCTTAGAAGTATGAATGAATGAATCAGCAGGAGAATCCTCTGGGAAGCTTGGCAGGGAAAGAAGGAGGGAGAGAGGGAGAGAGGGAAGAGTATCTTTGGGATTTGCCAGGAGAAATCCAGGAGGTGGATTTCCATCCTATTTCTGTCCTTCAAGGAAATGAAGGTGGGGAGTGCATTTAAGGGGGTGCTACCCTCCCTCACTCCTTTGGGGTGAATCCTTTGGGAAAATCCTCTGGGAAGCTTGGCAGGGAAAGAAGGAGGGAGGGAGGGTAGCACCCCCTTAAATGCACTCCCCACCTTCATCTCCTTGAAAGGTCTGTAGGATGATTCCCTTTCTCGTATATTTTGAATTCTTAAGGAATAATTTGTTTGTTCCATATTAAAAATTATTGCTATCTCTTCCTTATCTTTGTCTGCTTGCATCATTTTTGGATTTATCTCCTCTGTTCTTTCCTCAGCTCTTTCTGATTTCTTTTCTATTTTCTGAAAATTTTGTTCATTTTTTATTGTCATTTGCTGGGAGTTTTTGAGTAGTTTGGAGAACCGGCAAATACCACCTCTGGCTGGCCCAACCCGGTTGCTGCTCACCACTCGCCTTGCCTCACCCACCCCTCCTTATGCTTTCCTTACTGATATCCTGAAGCAGAGGAAAATTTTATTCCATTGTGATAAATTGAAAGGGGTGATTCTTACTTACCATGACCAAAGATTTAGGCTGAAGTCCATAGGAAAAGCTAAGGACTTTTTTTTTTAAATAAAGTTTTATTGAGTTTTAACAAAACAAATAAAACATCTTATTTGAGTACAGCATGGTTCTGGGTTATCACATTTCCATACAGACACAATTTCATATGCATATTCATCTTATGTATTCAACTTCATATCTTATTACTCTTTTCCAACTTCTCACTATTTCTCCCTTTACTTCTCTTAATTTTCTTTTATGCTTATCTCATTTTCTTCTTATTCAATTGTATTTCTTTTACCTAAATTTCTATATCTTTTTATTTATTGTACTTATACTTTCGTCTGTCTTGTTTACAATTTCATATGTTCTCTTCCAACATTCTTAAGAAGCAAAATTCCCCCTAAGATTGCCAATCGAAGTGCAACACCTTTAAATCTTATTGTTATTATCATATGAAATCTCATTAAACATTGAATTTGTGCATTCAAAAATTATAACATTCAAATTTCTAATATCTATTTTATATCATGTAGATCTCATCATTCAGACTCTGCTTAGTACTTCCCCTTGAAAATGTAAAAAGAACAATTCTAAAAACATAGCAAAAACAATATATATATATATATATATTTTATATTTTTCTTAAGTTTTCGCGGGTACTTACATGTATGGCCTTCGGCTTTGTTCGGGTATTTTCCCACGTCATTGTAGTTGTTCTTTTAAAGTTGTAGCAACGTTTCAGCAGAATCTCATCTGCCATCATCAGGCTTCTGTATTGTGTCCGTCTGTGGGTCAGACTTTTACAGTGGTTTCAGATTTAAATTTGGGGCAGCCTATTGCTGTGCCAGAATGGTTTTTTCTTCATCCTGATTGGTTGGGAGTCTTGGTCTGTGTTTATTGGTCTCGGAGTTTGCTGTGTTCTGCTTGATTGGTGTCTCTAATATCTTCTGTCTGTTTTTTGGCTCTTTTTGTATCTTGATTGGCTGGCAGCATTGTGTTACTTTATTGGAGGCCTTTAGTGCAGCTTGGCTTCGGGTAAATGGACGGCTATCATTAGTTAGGAAGCTGGGTTTCATCTGGGTGCCTGGTTGGGATGTGTTTGAGCTGGAGGTATCAGGGGGGATCTGTTTGTGCCCAGGTGTTTGCCTGGCTTGTGGTGTGGAGATTTTTTTGTTTGTGAGTGCAGGCTTCCAAATGATTGACAGCCTGGTGGAATCATCTCTTCTATTCATGCTTTCTGGTCTTTTTTCAATCTCTATGGCTTCTCTGATGATTCTGTGGCTAGGGTTTTCTATAGTGGCTAGGGTTTTGGTGCCATTGAAGTTGATGCTATGACCTGTGGCTTCCATGTGTTGGACTAGTGAGGAAGTGTGTTCCAGCTTTTTGACTGCATTTTTGTGTTCATCCAGGCGGGTACTTATTCTTCTATTGGTCTGTACAATGTATGTGGCTGGGCATGATGCACAGGGGACTTCGTATATGCCTTTTATGTTTATATATATATAAACATTAGTAAACAAAGTAGTTATTCAAAATCATTCTAGTACTGGTATGAACCTTGTAAATCTTTCACGTTTCTTTTCAATATCTATCAATCTTTGAGAACAACTGAAATGTTTCCCTCTATTATTATTATTATTATTATTATTATTATTATTATTATTTGACTGTTAATAAGCATACCATTGGATAGTCATACAGTTTTATCTTATAACTTTTTTACTATTAATAAGCAAAATTATTGTTCAGATTCATTCTAATAACTGGTATAAATTTCCTTATAAACCTTTCACATTTATTTTCAATATTTTATCAATCTTTAGAAACAATTGCAATGTTTCCCTCTCTTCTTTATTATTGCATTAATTATAAATAAACTTGCTATTACATAACAATACAGTTTTATCTCATATATTATTTACTTATTTCATTTCTAACTCATTACAGTATTCTACTGTCACAACACTATCTTTTGTACCTTTGCAGAATCCTCACTTTTAACTTAATTTAACCATTGTCTCTGTGTTTTCTAGCTGAGCAAATACCTTTAATCCTAGTACATTTCCCCTTTTTCTTTATTTCCTGTTTTTGTCCCTCATAAGTTCTTTCCCTTTCTATCTTTCCCCCCTTTTTCTCATCCCTTTTTTTATACCCTTCTCTCTCTCATTTTCCCTTCTGTAGTTTTCTTTTCTGCTTCTCCTTGCTGTTATACTTCTTTTTCAGACTATTTTTCTTTTTGGCTGTTCCCTTTGATCTCAAACTTTTAACTCCTTTCCCCCTTTTTCCCCTTATTACCACACTTTGCATTATTTGATCACTGAAAATGGCTTCTTCTTTGTCCCGTCCTTCTTCTTGCTCTCAAAGCTTTTCCTTTTGCTTTTCATAGTTCAGGATCTCCATTTCAAAACATTCAAATACGAAGCCAAAGAATCTTCCTCCCCTTTCTGCATCTTCTTTCTGTTTTTTAAGACTCATCTTCAATTCCTCCAGGAGTGATGGCATTTTAAACACTTTTGAACAACCACCTGATTGACTTTAAGTAAAAACAGAAAAAGAAAGAAAAAACCAATGCCAAAACCTTTTTTTTTAAATCACCAAATGATCCCAGACTGTTCCTTCTTGTTTCTTTCCTTTACTTTTCCTTTCCATGGGTTACTGTATCTTTTAATAAGATTTCAGTTACAATGTATCCTCAGGAGTCTTTTCAAAGTTTCACTGTTAATTCTCT